TTCTGATTGGTAAATAAAGATGCCAAGGGCCAAAGAGCCAGGAGCCAGGAGACATATGCAGGGTTTAGAGTTCCCAGGCTTGAGACCATGAGAAATATATAGAGAAAAAAATTTAGCAGCCATGGAAGAGGACAAATGTTCAGGAGGAAGAAGGAAAGCTGAAATGGGAAAGCTGAGCCATAAAAGCATGGCCACTTGGGCTGACTATTTGGAGTTAAGAGCAGTCCAGGTGGAACACAGGAATTAGTAAGTAGTAATTTGGAGTTATAGGTACAAAAGTGGAGTCTAACAGCATGGAAGGTAGGAAGTTGACCAGCTATTGTGCTACTTAAGTCATATTGAAATGTAAAGGCTTGTGTGTCATTTAAGAAAATAGATGGCCTAAGATGGGAAGGAACCCCAGGGGAGAATTTTTAATTTTTTATTTTTTACTATATATGGTGCCTTAACATAAGACAAAAACTCACTTTCAAAAAATTAAGCACATGGATGTAAGCAGAGCTGTGGCCCTAGAAATGGAGTACAGAGGGGGCATGGCATAGGTCCCTGCTGCTGTTTGCCCAGAGGAACCCTCAGGAAGGGAATTGGGGTAGGGGTCTCACCTAATGGTCACTGCTGTCTGCAAGTGTCTGGGATTGTGATTAGAGGTATGGACTGGGAGGTACAGTGCAGAGAGGACAGGGCAGACCTTGCATCTGCTGGCATTGTCACAGACTTTTGAAATAAAACAAAGACAATGCTACTTGGATCCAATTTATAATATCACTAGTTTATTGCCTCTATTCCAAAATGAGAAATTATTTACAGCAAGGAAGGTTTTTAATGTAACTAGACAAAAGTTATGCTGAGTAAACATGACATCTTGCAACTCCATTTCTTGTGTCATGCTTGTAATGGGATCCTATGTCCTCCAACAAATTTGGTGATACTTGCCCCTCATGATCAGCCATCTACAGTGTGTAGATACTAACTCTTGTCTCAACTCCTGCAGTTCTCCCTAGCATATGTCCTATGGCCAAAGTAACTCCAAAAGTCTGGGTTCTCCACTGAAATTTAATACCTTCATGCAGTATAACTGAAAGAGATTTGTTGAAGTAATTATTTAAAATGGCTGCTGGTCATGCTGGCTATCTAAGCTGTAGTGGCTCTGCTTAGCTCAGCCTCCCTGTTCCATGGCTGGAGGCCATGTGCACACCGCAGCTAGAAAAGGCCAGCCAGAAACATCAGCCCTGCAACTCATGAGACGTCAGCTTGGGAGATGGCTCTGCCAATCTTCCACACTGTCTTCACAAGGCTGGGCAGTGCCCAGACCATCCCACCATCCATGCGGGCCTGGTAAGAAAATGAGACTCTAATGCTTAAATATTAATCATGGCCTTATATATTTGGTAACTCTCAATAACAATATACCCATACAATTAGAAGTGTATCCCAATTAGTTAACATAAATATAAGTTGTTACCCAGGACTGCTTTCCATACCTGCATGGCTCTTCATCCTCTTACATCTCTGCCTTTTCTCTCATCATGTTCCTCCTTCTTTCTCCCCTTCCTCTCCTTACTCCTCCTCTTCCTCTCCTTACTCCTCCCATCTTAGCTATTCCCAACTTGGGGGGAAAATTTCCCACTATAGGGACTCCTTTCACGAAATTCAACTTTTCTGCCTGTTGTCTGGCCATATTAACAAGCAGGAATCTCTGTGCAGATTGCACTCATCCTCACACTTGTACATTCATTCATTCAAAAGGAGGATCATGTGCATTCTGCTTCTAGCTTGTGCTGTTCTCTAGCTGTCATAGACCACATTTGTAGTGGACACCAGATTTCTTGGTAGATAAATCAATGAGAAGACTGTTCTAGAATTTTGTTCCTGTGGGATGCTCAGTTCATGCTCTGTATCTTAATAGTTTGAATCTTCTAAGGATGGATTCTTTGTCTTATTCTTAAACATTTTTATCTGTTCTCCCAGGAAAGATGACTAGATTATTTTTTAATGGGATACACATATCACTTATGATAGATACAAGTACTTTTGAATCTACTTCATTTGAAACTTTAAATGCATTCGTGTTCCTTCTTAGGCCATGTTCATGATTCTGTGTCTCTTTGCTTCATTAATTTCTCTCTTTCACTGTGGACCTGAATAAGGGAAATTAGCAGCAACCAGGTTGCATCTAACTGCTGTCCTGCATTTAAATTTGCTCTGCCAAAAGAGAGTCAATTTTCATAGAGAAACCAATCTCAAACCGATCAGGAAACTTCCTACCTCCTAGTTAGCTTCCATACTGCCAGAAGGTACTATGTAGGCTCTTGAAAGTAAAAAACATCAGTGATCTTATTCAGTGTTGGATCCTGCATGCTACAGATCCAACCTGTCAGATACAAAGTGCCTATTGGTATAATAATGGTGTGACTCTTATGTAATAACTAACTGCTTTAGGACACAAGATGTTCTAAAACAATGTTTCTTAACTAGTATGGTAGACTCTTTTGGGGTTGAATGACACTTTCATAGGGGTCACATATCATATATCCTGCATATTAGATATTTACACTATGATTCATAACACAGCAACATTACAGTTATAAAGTAGCACCAAAAATAATTTTATGGTTGTGAGTCATCCCAACATTAGAAAATGCATTAAAAATTCACAGTATTAGGAAGTTTGAGAACCACTGTTATAAGAGAAACTGAAAACAACCTAAACTGCAGGGAATCTACAAATCTCTGGAACCAAACAACACAAAGTCCTCAAGAAGTCCCTCAAACTGATCAGATTCACTAGACCTCTCTATCCCCAAATATATTTAAGCAAAAAGAACTTCTGAAAGGCATTCCCAGACCAGAAGAGCAGTCTAAAACAAACACTCTCCCACCTATCAAAATGCCTACTAGTTATGAGATATGCTCTAGGTTTCCATCTTTTTAAGATGTTGAGATGGGAATTGAGTAATGTATCTGTCTTTGAGTTATTTCTTCCACAATAAAGCCACTGGTTCACCAAGTAGAAATTTTGTGATATCATTGCTTTGATCTGCCATTGACTCTCTATCTGGGGTGACTAGACAATTACATCATCCCATGAATAGTGTTACAAAGCATATCCTACATTCAATATTATCTATAGGAAATTGTTGTGGATATAGTCATAGAATATAGGAAGAATAATTCAACAAATAAGTTTTTATAGTCTTGTATGTGCATGTTTCTTATCATGGTCCTTTCTTTAGAATGACATGTATTGAATATTGACTTACGTGAGCACCAAAACATTTTCAACCTACTTTCATATTACCTTTGTATATGATAATCTGTTGTGATTTACAGCTATTGGGAAACTGATTTCAATCTCTGAGCTTTGGTTTCTCACTCTATATACCTAGACAGTAAAATAACTATAATAAGCAGTTAACATAAGTAAACTGAAAAATGTACCTGTTAAGATTTCCTGGGATAACAATCCTACTATTTTTACAGACTGTTTCCAAGATTTCCAATTGTTCTTTGGTGGGAGGAAAATTCTCTGCCAATAGTTTCTTTTTATATTTCTACTCGGAATCATTATTCTTCATGTGCCTTAGGCATGTTCTTGGAACAAGAACTCATGAGCAAATTGTTTTGTTTTTCATGCCATCTGAGGCAAAACATCTGAAGCAGGAACAAGTCAAACTACACACTATGCATGATTAACTCAGAAGACATTACTTCATTTGCCTTGAATAGATGCATAGATGAATGTTCTGTCGAACTTTATAAAGAAATTCATAAGTTTTTTTGAATGAATCTTTGAGAAAAACTTTTTTCAATGTACAAAATATGATGGTAGAAATTTTACATGATCTGGTAATAGCAACAAGCAAAACAAAACTATCACCACCACCACTTCTACAACAACGAATTGGAAGAAGAAAGCCAGCAAGCTAACTAAGAAGTGACTATACTTTACAATAAAAACATACTCCTGACTCTAACCAGTGTTCAGAAACCACAAGAGGCATGCACGTAAAATGAGAAGAGTTGATGAGTGGTTTTGGGTAATCTCTGGGATTAGTGATAATGCTGATTATGTTGTTAAATATCCCAAGGCTATGGATTCACTGGAGGTTCAATAAGAGTGTGTATGTGGTCTTTATAAGTAGTCCAAAGTAGAATATGCCACACTTCTTCAGCTACAGATGATGCACAGTATGTGGATGACTATGGAAATGAAAAAAAAGACACTACAAAAATGTATAAAGAAAATACGTTCACAAACATCACCACAGTTTTATTTTTTCAAAAAGGTTTATTTTTATATTATATTTATTGTTGTTTTGCCTACTGTCTGTGCACCAGGACACTGGGACTGAGAAAGCAATAGTGAGCAATGTCAAGACTATTCCATTAATAATAATATAGTGTAAGATGAATATGTACAGAAAATGTGAATTGTGCAAAAAAAGACAATAAAGGAAATGTATGAGAAATTTTAACTTCTGAATGATTTGATGAATTGATTTAACTTCTGGATGAATTGATTCATTTATGGTGGATTTTTATTTTGGCAAACTTTGTTATGAAATGTGGGAATTCTCTTTCTAAGATGCTCAAATTGTTCCAGAGATCTGGAATGTTTACATGTGTAAACATCGGCAAATGGAGCTTTGTGGAAATATTTAATAAATTTTGCAATGCAGGCTTTCACATAAACATCCGATTAAACTTAGCATCAATCACTTTACTATATTTTTTATTTAAAAAATCCATGACAATTTCCTGCAGAAAACAACAATGAAAAAGTCAAAATGTGAGTTAATATGAAAAAACTCTTAACTGTCAATTAAAGAGGAAACTCAGTTTTCAGTACTTAGGATACAGAGTTCATCATTCTACTGGCAATATTGACTGTTCCACCTTCCGCCCTAGCAAATAAATATTGCAGATTGGCACCACAGATACACAACTGGACTCAGAATGGGAGTTCAGGTCTTTACCTGTTAGTTAAAGTCGGAGAATAGATTTGTTGAAAGAAAAGAGCAATGGACCTGATTCCAAACTTTTCCATGGAAACATGGGCACTGCTGTCTACTATCCTGGTGCTGCTCTACCTGTGAGTAATACGTTGGACTCCTCTTCATTGTATCCCAGTAGCGAGATAATTCTTAGGCCCTTGTTCCCTGTTGGAAAACAGAAGGTATTATCCAATGGAAATTAACAGTGCCAAAGATGATTTTAAAAATCTGGTGTAAACCAAATCATTTATCTCACTGAGCTTTTCAGCCATACTGTCTCAACTCTTGTTTAGGAGCCAGTGTTTTGAGACTAAAGTCCAGGCTTAAAATGGTTATTCAGTTACTTCTCTTGATTTGTTTCCTGTTATTAGTCTATAATTTGTTTGTAACATTAGGATAACAAGGTTTGTAGGATCTAGAACTCATAATTACTACACTTAAGATGATAAAGATTATTCTGCCTCCAGACTATTTGTCCAGAGAGAGTTATCATTAGAGACTGTTGGGTTACCAAGTCCGTTAACTAAGTGCCTGTAGCTGATTAACTCAGTACAAGAAGCCTTAGAAGAAACAGGACAGAGATATGATGCTTTATGTAGTTTGTTGCCTTGTGATGTCATTTGGGTAACTCATGGTGCTGTTCAACTATTCTTATGAATATGGAAGAAAACATCCTGTGACTTTAGTATGTTATCAGTGATACCTTGGAGAGACAAAAGTTTATGGCATTACGACAGTAATTTGTTTTAAATATTACTCCCAGGAGCATGAATGGCTCAAAGGCAACATCAAAACACTGCACCTGAACAAATGGTGATTTGCAAATACTGTATCTTTTTAAAAAATAGTTTTTGTGCATGTTACTGCTTTGCCTACATGTCTGACAATCTTAAGGTCATAATAAAGCATTGGATTCCCAGGAACTTAAATTATATGCTGTTGTGAGTTGGCATGTGGGTGTGAATAACTGAACCTTGTACCTTTGTAAGAGCACCAGATGTTCTTAACTGCTTAGCCTTCTCTCCACCCCAAAAGCCGAATGTTGGAAGCTCTGAACAGTTTGCAGGCTGTGAGACAGGATATCTCAGAGAGTTTTATTAGGAAGCTCAACTGGTTAGCTATCCTCTTCTGCTGAGCAAACTCACTGTTCACTGCTTCTACAACATTCACAAGAGATCTTATGGATCTTGCATTTCAGATTACCATACTCGTTATCTGTGCTTACTTCTTAAGTTTGTGAGCCCTTCAGTAATATTCAAATTCAAGCTTATACAGTTGTATTACATATTAACTCTAGGAATAGAAACATCAAATATTAATCTAAAAGTCTATACTAAGTTGGAATGTGGAGGGTATTATTATTCTAAGTGTTTATGTTAAATTCTGCTCACCTGTTTTCTCACTGGATAAATTCTAGTAATTGTCAATATTTGCATCCAAGAATATATATTCACATAAACATATTTACACATATATAGATACTAATATATACTAGATCAATAATTTTCATAAGTTAGCACCTCTATGTACATATATCTATACCTATATATGCGCGTATGAATGTGTGTATTCATGTATGTGCATGTGTGAGTTCACATTATATATATATATATATATATATATATATATATATATATATATATAT